CACTCTGAACAAGCCATCTTCCAGCTGAGTGAGCTTGTTTTGAAATGGTACGCACATCTTGTAGAGCTTCAGAGAGAATCCATGGCTTCTCTTACTTCTCATTCTTCAGCCGTCTGGAAAACCGACGTTTTCGTGAGTTTTAGAGGAGAAGATGTGCGCAGAACATTCGTGAGCCATCTATTCTCAGAGCTTGATCGGATTTGGATCTAGAGAGAGGAAAATCGATTTCCCCAGAGCTTGTAGATGCGATCGAAAGCTCCAGATTCGCGATCGTCGTTGTCTCTAAACACTACGCAGCTTCAAGCTGGTGCTTAGACGAGCTCTTGAAGATCATGGAATGTAAAGATACGATTGATCAGACAATCGTACCCATTTTCTACGAGGTTGATCCTTCGGATGTTAGAAGACAGAGTGGGAGTTTCGGTGAAGACGTTGAGAGTCACAGTGATAACAACAAGGAGAAGGTGAAGAAATGGAAAGAAGCTTTGACCAAATTAGCTTCGATTTCTGGTGAAGATTCTCAGAATTGGTAAGTTTCTTTGTTTTGCAGTCTAATTGGTGTTTGTATTCAAAAGCTATAAGAAAATGATGAAGTTTCTATGGTAAGAGGGATGAGTCAAAGCTGATTAAGAAGATTGTTAGAGACATTTCTGATAAATTGGTTTCAACTTCAAGGGATGATTCAAAAGGGTTGATTGGAATGAGCTCACATATGGACTTTCTGCAGTCTATGATGGCTATAGAGGAGGACAAAGATGTTCGAATGGTAGGGATTTCGGGAATGGGTGGAGTCGGGAAAACTACGATTGCCAAATACTTGTACTATCAACTCTCATGTCGATTTCAAGCTCATTGCTTCATGGAGAATGTGAAGGAAGTCTGTAACAGATATGGAGTTAGGCGTTTACAAAGGGAGTTTTTATGCAGATTGTTTCGTGAGAGAGATAAAGAAGCGTGGAGCTCGGTTTCTTGTTGCAGCATAATAAAGGAAAGGTCAAGGCACAAAAGGGTTTTGATTGTCCTCGACGATGTTGATAGAGCTGAGCAATTGACTGAATTGGTGAAGGAGACTAATTGGTTTGGTCCTGGAAGCAGAATCATCGTGACAACACGGGATAAACATCTGTTAGTTTCTCATGGCATAGATTTGGTATATAAGGTTAAGTGTTTACCCAAAAAAGAAGCTCTCCAGCTCTTTTGTAACTATGCTTTCAGAAATGAGATTAGTATTCCACACGGGTTTCGGGAGTTATCGGTTCAAGCTATTAACTACGCTTCTGGTCTTCCACTGGCTCTAAGAGTTATAGGCTCTTTCCTTTATCGAAGAAGCCAAAGAGAATGGGAAAGCACACTTGCTAGGCTTGAAACTTCTCCTCATAGCGATATTATGGAAGTTCTGAGAGTTAGCTATGATGGATTGAATGAGCAAGAAAAGACTATTTTTCTCTATATATCATGTTTCTATAACATGAAACATGTTGACTATGTGACAAAACTTCTGGATATATGTGGCTATGCTGCTGAAATCGGTGTCACGGTTCTTACTGAGAAGTCTTTGATTGTCGTAGCAAATGGATACATAAAGATGCATGATTTGCTTGAACAGATGGGTAGAGAACTTGTTCGTCAGCAAGCAGTTAACAAACCGGCGGAACGGCTACTTTTATGGGATCCTGTAGACATTTGTGATTTGCTGTCAGAAAATTCTGTAAGTTATCTGCATATATTTCTCTTTTCCTCCTATCTTTTCAGAATCTTCTTGTAAACGGTTTTGATAGCTTCTTCTTCTCTATTTCTTAGGGAATACAACTTGTTGAAGGAATGTCCCTGAACCTGTCTGAAGTTTCGGAGGTATTTGCTAGTCATCGAGCTTTTGAGGGGTTGTCTAATCTCAAGCTTCTCAACTTCTATGACCTTTCATATGATGGAGAGACTAGAGTGCATCTACCTAATGGCCTTGCTTATCTCCCACGCAAACTTCGTTATCTACGTTGGGATGGATACCCTTCAAAGACTATGCCTTCAAGATTTTATCCGGAATTTCTTGTTGAACTTTGTATGAGTAATAGCCATCTTGAAAAACTTTGGGATAGAATCCAGGTAAATCCTCCATTTACATGATTTTTTCTTTTTTTTCCTACTTGCTATTGGACTAAAAGACTAAAACATTTGATGCAAATTGTTTCAGCCTCTTAGGAATTTGAAGAAGATGGATCTTTCTCGCTGTAAATATCTTGTCGAAATTCCAGATCTCTCAAAAGCCACAAATCTTGAGGAACTAAACCTTTCCTATTGCCAAAGCTTGGTTGAGGTTACTCCATCTATCAAACATCTTCAGAAACTTTATTGCTTGAACTTGACTAATTGCATTCAACTCAAGAGCGTTCCAAATGGAATCGCTTTGAAGTCGCTTGATACAGTTGAAATGAGTGGGTGCTCAAGTCTTATGCATTTCCCAGAAATTTCTTGGAATACTAGAAGACTCTATCTGAACAGTACAAAGATAGAGGAACTGCCATCATCGATCGGTCGTCTTTCTTGTCTGGTTGAATTGGATATGTCAGACTGCCAGAGCCTCAGGAATCTTCCAAGCACTGTAAGGCACTTGGTCTCACTTAAATCCATGAATTTGGACGGTTGCAAACATCTTGAGAACCTCCCAGACACATTACAAAACCTCACATCCCTTGAAACTCTTGAAGTGTCTGGTTGCCTCAATATCAACGAGTTCCCTCGTGTTGCCACAAATATAGAAATCCTGCGTATAGCTGAGACATCAATTGAAGAAATTCCTGCAAGGATCTGCAATCTCTCTCAGCTTAGGTCATTGGACATTTCAGGAAATAAAAGACTGAAATCTCTTCCGGTAAGCATTTCTGAGCTAAGATCCTTGGAAAGGCTCAAGCTTTCTGGCTGTTCTGTACTTCAGAGCATTCCACCAGAAATTTGCCAGACAATGGCCTGCTTGAGGTGGCTTGATTTAGATAGGACCAGCATTACAGAATTGCCTGAAAATATTGGGAATTTAGTAGCTCTCGAGGTGCTTCAAGCCAAAAAAACAGCGATAAGACGAGCACCATGGTCTATTGCACGCCTTATCCGTCTTCAAGTTTTAGCAATTGGGAATAGCTCCTATAATCCAGAAGCTTTGCATTCTTTATGTCCACACTTATCAAGGTTTGATGATTTGAGAGCTCTGTGCCTAAGCAACATGAACATGCTAGAGATCCCTAACAGTATCGGTAGCTTATGGAGTATAATAGAATTAGATTTGAGTGGTAACAATTTTGAATTCATCCCCGCGAGCGTCAAACGGCTCACCAGGTTGATTAGGCTGGATTTAAACAATTGCAAGAGACTTCAAGCATTGCCCGATGAGCTTCCACGGCGTCTTTTGTATATCTACGCCCTAGTGAGTATCTCAGGTTGTTTCAAGCATCATTGTCTGCACAAGCTTGTAGCTAGCAACTGTTACAAATTGGATCAAGAAGCACATATTCTCATTCACCGTAACATGAAGCTAGATTCAGCAAAACCAGAACTCTCTTATTTTCCTGGAGAAGACGTGCCGTCTTGTTTCAATCACCAGGCTGTGGGTTCTTCATTGCGAATAGACTTGTCTCAGAGTGAATCATCATCATCTGACATTCTGGGATTTTCCGCCTGCATCATGATTGGAGTTGATGGGCAGTACTCGATGAACGATCTCAAGATACGCTGTTCTTGTATATTAAAAGGGGTTGATGCTAATGAGCTGGTTGTTATGGATGAGGTATGGTATCCGGATCCAAAAGCTTTTCTGAACATGTGTTTTGGTTCAGATCACCTCCTCTTGTTCAGCAGAACATGCATGTCCATGGGAGCTTACAACGAAGCCTTGTTCGAATTTTCAATCGAGAACACAAAAGGAGATTCTTTTAAACCGTTTGGAGAGGTGAAAAAATGTGCAGTGCACCTCATATCGTTTAAAGACATGATGCAAGAGCAAGATAGCGCAGCTTCTGAGGATTTTCACAATCCTTATTTGGATGTTTCGGAAGCATTAGATGAAGCAGGGGTTTTGAAAAGAAAGCCATATGAAACTGAATTCTTGCACAAGGAGCAACCCAAGAGGATCAAATTTCTTCCAGTTCCTTTGGTTCGAAAGCAACGTTCCAACTTACATCAACCAAATGTTGCACGAGAGTGAAAGTTGTTGGCTTGTATATATGTCAATTGATCCATATATTTTGATAGCATCAAGCATGAATTTGATCTCAAAATCTCCGCAAAACAAGCAAAAGTCTAAGTGACAAGATTCACTATGACAGAAAAGTGAACATTACGAACCCGAGGAGATAAAAGACAATCTGAAACCTCCCAGATAACGTGATACAAAAAAACACTTGCCACTACCTCAACTCTACACGTTACTTTGCTAGACAAGAAAACAAACCCATCTAATCTTCTTCTACCTACAACTGCTGTGTACAAACAAATTCTTACTTTCTGAGATGAATCAAGACGTCCTATTGTACTTGAGATGTTGCTCGTAGAATTCAATCAGCTGGCATCGAAAACAACAAATAGAAACGTTTTAGAACCATCCAAAATGAGTAAAATGCAAAAAGTAAAGCTCTTAAAAATAGTTTTACCAGAAGAGGATTGTGAGCCTTGAGAAATTTGTTGTCCACCATCACTTCCTTCCCATCAGACCTATGAGAGTAGCCTAATAAGTAAAATATGAATTCAAAATGTGAAAATTGACCAAAAGAGCGGAAAAAAAAAAACAAACCTCAGCGCCGAAAAAGTCACCAACACGTCTTGCACATTGTCTGATACAGATGCTGAAAAGCTCATCGGTTTAAGTATCTTTGTGATGTCCAACTCCTCATTCTTGGTTTTCTGTGACAAATTATCATTTTCCAACACACCAGGATACTCATTCCCTATCCTTGCAATTCTACCAAAAGAGTCTAATGCAGTCAAATCCTGTGTCAGATTCTGATCTGTAGGTGTTATGTGGTTGTTACTTGTGGATGCGTCTTGTTTGAATCTTTTCACAGAGCCAGACTTCCTCCGCTTAGCACCTATGAAACGACTGTTCTTATCAAGCTCCTTAGGATAAACCTTGAGAAGGCCATTGGGTCTTGCATTATCACCTTCAGAACCAATGCCTCCTCCTTGGGAACATCCAGCACCATTATTGTTAGTAACTGGTCCCCTTAGCTCGTTAAGTGTCGGATCATAATCTTTCTCCTCTTCCATCAAAGTAACTTGTCGCACCATCCCAATACCCCGGCTGTTAGCATCAACCTGGTTGGCTACATAAGCATTCTTCGCTTCTCCATCTCCTTTTAGTAGACTCGAACCGCTTAGGTTGGCTGGACCAGGAATATCAGGGAGGCTAAGGTTGTTGAGAGACGTTGAAGACTCAGATTTCTCAGCAGCATCCAGTGACGTAGATGTAAAGCGCTGCTTCTTCTTCATCTGAGAATTAGGGCCTCCATATTTGCGCTTCCGCTTCCTACCAGGCTTTCCTGGCCTCAAACTTTGAAACACGAAAGCAAATCCATACATTAAGAAAGGAAATCCACGAAACAGCCAATTGAAAAGCATCATAAAACTGATAAATTAGATGCATTTACCTTCCTTCAAATGCATCTATAACATCAGCAATGGACTGGAGATTCTCTAAAGGCTCCCAAGTGTTGGCAGTTTCCGGCCATCCACGCCTTTCACAACCGAGTTTATAACTTATGTCAATGGAAAAAGCATATATTTGATCAAGAACACATACTTAAAATGAAACTGAGTATGATTTGAAGAACTCACCATTTAATTAGATACTGGACCTTACCCTGTTCAAAAGCACCATCCGAGAACCAATAACCAAAAGAAAGAATCAATCAAATCAATCC